TGGGGTCCAGGTGTTTAGGGCACTGCGTCAAGGAGGTCCTGGCGTTCCCTGCAGCTCCCTCGTGGCCTCATATGCCTGTGGGTATCGTTGTCAAGAACCTGGCCCCGTCGACGGTCGTCCCGAAGCAGGTTAGATATGCGCAGTTCCCCTTGGACAAGCGCGTGGGTCCTCGGAGGCTCCCTACGGAAGGCACGTGGTCTTGGGAAGTTGGAGGAGGCTCGCACTGTTTGGGGTCCATGGTCAGGGAGTGGTTCACCCAGGCTGAGGGCTGGCTCGTGCAGTTCCACGACCTAGACAGTGCTAGCGTGGCCAGGACGTGTGGAAGAGCTGGGGGCCCTAAAGTCACTAAGGTTCCCCTCGAGACGGTTTGGGACCGAGAGTCTAGGAGAAGATATTCAAAGCGGACCACCAGCTGGATGTCCTTCGAGGCGCTGGCTCGTCGAGCAGCTGCAGTTGGCCCAGATATGCTAGGCGCCAGAGCTCGCGGTCTTTTTCATGAATGGCGTGCCGCCCTGTTCGGGATGATCTCGGCGCTGGAGGCGCCAGACGAAGGCGCGAATGTCCGATTTGTGGTCAGCCTAGTCGAAGGGATATCCATGGGGCTCAGAGATGAGTTAGAAGGGCTGCTCGGGCAGTTACGAGAGTATGTAGAAGGCCTGCGAAAGTCGGACGCCAAGGAGTCCCTGTCGGAGTGGAAGGAGTGGGCTAAGTCGTCAGTGCAGCGGGGAGGGAAGGCAGCGCATGCTTATTCCAGGGTTTCTCGCGCAGACAGGACGGTCCCGTTCAGTGTCGTAGACGACCACGGCCGCTTACCAGTCAACGGCGAGCTCGCGCTCCTCCAGCTTCTAGATCAGTGGCTTCCCCTCTGGCACAAAGAAGGCAGGCTCAGCAAAAATCACCCAGCTCATTGGGATGTGTTGGGAGCAGAATTGCCACCTATCTCTCTGGAGCAGTTGAGACGTGTGTGTAACTCGTATGGGGAAGGGGCTGGTCTTGGGTGGGACTCCTTCCATCCCCGCCAGATCTTGTTTCTTCCAGAAGAGTATCTATCAATTGCGTGTTATCGACGTCCTTCGCTCGTTCGAAGATCGACCCTGTGTGATTGCAGAGTTATTGACGAATATCATCTTCCTCGACAAGCCAGATGGTGGAGTACGCCCGATAGGATTATTGTGCATGTTCACCAAGATCTGGTCGAAGTGCCGTCAAAACATCTGCCGTGCCTGGGAACAGGCCCACGAGCAGGCCTTCTTCTGGGGCGTCGGGGCCACGTCTACCTGTGAGCGAGCAGGATGGGTCCACAACATGCTGGCCCATTTCGGGAAAGTCCTGGGGACCTCGGCGGCGACCGTGCTTCTGGACCTTAAGAAGTTCTATGAGCACATCGACCATATGGACCTGTATCGTGCGGCGTGCCAGCATGGTTTCAATTTGAAGCTCCTGCGAGGGTTGTGTGTGATTTATGCAGGGGATAGGATGCTGCACTATGGAGGGGCGGTATCTAGGAAGGTGCAAGGAAATGGGGCAGTTATTGCAGGGTGCTCAGCAGCTACCACGCTTACGAAGTTGCTTTTGTTGTCGCCGCTCTCGGCCGCGCAGTCTGGCCGGCCGCAGTTGTGCATCCGTAACGTGATAGACGATATCGCGCTGCAGATTGTTGGTCCGCAGCAGCTCATTGCACCGCAGCTCGCCGCAGGTGTGCAGTCCCTGTTGTCCAGTTTCTCGGAGCTCGAGCTCCCCGTCTCGGAAAAGTCGAAGTACATGACTAGCGACTCGGATTTGAACGAGGCCTTGCAGCCCCTGTGGGACCTCCCAAAGGAAAGCAAGGTGGACCATGCAAGGAACCTCGGCACCGACGCGGTGATGGGGTCCCTACGGAGGGTTCAGATCACTCGGGACAGGTGGGACAAGGCCAGAGGGAGGACGATTAAGATTAAGAAGCTCAGGGAGGCGGGGGCCAACACGGGGTTCATTCAACGTGGAGGCCCTACGGCGTCGGCTCTATGGGGGTCCAGCATCATGGGGATTCCTTCGACCCAACTGCATCGTCTTCGATTGGGAGCTGCTGGAAGTCTCGGGAAGGTCCCCAGGGCTCCACGGTCGGGCTCCGTCTCTTGAGCTATGCTGAAGGGGTCCGAGTGGACCCGCTGCTGTTGAACATCGGGATGGTTGTGTTCCAATGGGCGGCGGCGGTCTGGGAGTCGTTTCCGAAGCTTCCTGTTTTGGAACGGTGTCTTGATGGAGCCCTGGGCCGTCTCGAAGGAGTCCAATCACCTTGGAGGCAAGCAGCAGCCCCAGCAGAAGTAGCCGTGCTCAGTCTTCGCAGGATAGGCTGGAGGTTGCGGTCAGGTGCGTGCATGGTCACGGATCGGCAGGAAGCACTAGACCTTCGTGTTTTACCTCCAGCGCTCGTTCAGGAGCTAGCAGTTGCAGGAGCCAGGCGAGCCTCTGATCGCCAAGCTCTTTTTTGTCGTGAGCCCAAAGCCAGGTGGAATATGCCGATATTTTGGGCAGGACTTGAGGGGCTCCTGCATCGAACCAAGGGATCCTGGACGAAGAGGTTTCAGAGGACGTTGAGATCCTTGGTTTCTGGAGGACACTGGCCACAAAGTCGGCTTCACCACCATGGACTTGTTGGCTCAGCGAGGTGTCTTGTATGTGGTGATCCCGAAGGGTCCTTGTGGCACAGGGCATACGAGTGCCCGAAGCATGCAGGGCTCAGGCGTGAATGGGTTGACGACTTCCACAGGACGAGGGCTCGCAGGGTCCGCGAATGGGGGTACGACGAGGGGGAGAGGTTTGCGAGAGGCCTGTTCCCGTCGCCAGAGTTGGTCTTCCCCGTCGTGACCGAGGCCCAAGAGACCATCTTGTGGCACAACAGACCTGAGTCAGGGCTCCTGAGTGGCACGCTGTTCTTAGACGGTTCGGCCTTATGGGCCTCGGCTCCGTTTTTGGCCCGAGCGGGCTGGGCCATCGTGCAGGTAGATAGGTTTGGCGATGTAGTTTCGGCGGCCTACGGGCCCGTCCCATGTCGTATGTGCCCTAAGCAGAGTTCTAGAGACGCGGAGGATTACGCCGTCTCGATGCTGCGCGTTTGTGCTATGGCGCCCTTCGATGTCTTCATCGACTGTGCAGGCACTGTTGGGACTCTCCGTGGCGGCGCGGGCGCTGGATCCCAAAGCAGTTGTGGTCGGGCCCAGCTCTGGAGTCCGTTCTGGGGTGCGTTCTCAGAAGGGGACTTCCAAGTTTTTAAAACCAAGGCCCACTGCACCAGAGCCCAGGTTGATGCGGGTGTCACCACTGAGTGGGAGTACAGAGGGAACGCCCACGCCGACAGGTTTGCGAAGCTCGGTGCTGCGGAGCACGGCGTGGGCGAAGAGCAGTTTCAGTTGTGGCAAGGCTTTTTGTTTTTAGCCCAAGAAGCCGCCCGATGGGCGGCTTGTGTGCATGTTGAGTCCAATGGCCAGGACCACGAAGATTTGATGGACGCGTACTGGAGGTCTCGGGGCTCTACTGCTGAGGAGGACCCTGAGACCCCAGAGGACCCCGAGCCTGAGCCCCAGGCGTGCAGCCGTGGTGGGGATGTGGGGTCGTCGCACGGGGTGGGCGACGGGTGGGAAGAATATGCAGACGCCAGTTTTTGGTGGCAAGGCCACAACCTGCTGGAGGCTGATGTGCTCAGTCGCACCGCCCACGTTTCTTCTGTCGTCTTCTGTTGCCGCTGTGGCACCGTTTCCTCGGACGGCAGGTTATCCCCAGGTCTAAGGGGGTGGTGCCCCGAGAAGGCCAAAGCTGGAGGCGTGGACCAGCTGCGGAGGATCAAGAAAGGAGAGTTCCCCTCGTACCGCGCCAATGTGCGCTCGCTGAAGGTCGGGAAGCCGCATGGAGTGCTGCCAGCGACCCGCTCGAGCCTAGCCGAGGCCGAGCTGAGCCTGCCCCCAGAGCCACAGCCCGCGGCCCCAAGCGTCGGGGCCAGTGGCGGATGGGGGCGGGCTGATCATGGGGGGCGGGCCGAGGTTCTGAGGGCGTTTGGGCTGTGGGAGGGGGAGCTCGAACTGGTCCGCGACCTCGGCCGCTCGGCCCTGCAGCGAAGCGCGGACAGCCCTGAGGAGGGCGACTCCGACGCCGAGCCATTCTGAATTGGGGCTTGACCCCGCGTTTAGCGCAAACCCATACCATACCATACCTCCCCCTTCCGTCCTTCCACTCTCGTCGCCTTTCCTTTTCCCATCTGGGTAGCACGCGCACCTGTGGCACGAGGCTTACGGGGACGCATGTTACACTACCGTCAGGGATTGCGCTTTCTCTCTCCTCTCCTCTCCATCCCCATCCTCTTACCATCTTTACCCCTCGCTTCGACATCGCCGCTGCTATTCCGCCATTGTTGTCGCATGCTGTGCTCGGGGGGATACCTATTCGCACCCTCCATCGCATCCGCCGCTTCTTTTCGTTCCTCGCTCCTTCCTGTGGACTTTTCGCGCGAGCTCGTGCTTACGACCAGGGGGTGAATAAATACATGAAGGCGGCACGCTTTGTCCGTTCACGGCGCGCTTCACGACCTTGCCTATTGCATCTCGATTCTCGCGATGCCCTTCTATATCAAGATGTGGTGTAAGCCACGCGATTGGTGTGAGATGCGTTTATCGCGCCCGTTTCTTTCCTGATGATGTTGAATTACTCCGTACTTTGATTTGCGTTGTCAACCAACCATGCCTAGGCACAGCAACACACACCTACACCTGCATACAACTACGCAGTTACACGATGTTTGATGGGGAGTATTGGCGTTCGTTGTCGTTGCGATCCCATCGTCCGAACGGCGCCACCTTCAGAAGCGACTGGCAGGGACGAGGTGCCACAAGACGAGGCGCACAATCAGGGCGAGGATGACGAGGCTGATGAGGGGCGAGCGGAGAGGGACTGCGTGGGAGAAAGAGCAGAGCCAGTCATCACGGCAAGGCGGGCTCGAGGAGAACAGGTGGAACCCACACCCCTCCGAGGCGGCAGCCTTGCTCAGGCCCCCGGCGCGCCTGCCCGAGGCGCTGCGAGCGGCGGCGGCGAGGCCAGCCCGTGGTGGAGGTCCTGCGCTGCTGGAGGCCCGTGCTGGGAGCCAGGGCATGCCAGGAGTCCTCGATCCCTCCTCCTCCTCCTCCTCCTCCTCCTCCTCCTCCTCCTCCTCCTCCTCCTCCCTCCTCCTCCTCCTCCTCCTCCTCCTCCTCCTCCTCCTCCTCCTCCTCCTCCTCCTCCTCCTCCTCCTCCTCCAGCCGCCGTCCCGGCTCGAGGGGCCCTGGGAGCAGTTACCAGGTAACTGCGCGCCCCTCACCTCCGGGTCAGCTGCTAGACGCGCCGCTGATTGCACGCAGCCCGCCATTGTGCTGCGCCGCGGCCGTGCAGGCCCTCGCCACGCTGGCCGGGCTCTTGAGCCAGCGTGGCACCGAAGGGCCCGAGCGGACCGCTCACGAGCTCGTGTCCTCCTCCGCCTGGAGGCGGCACGACGCCTGCTACAACGACATCACAGTCGACAGCGAGTGCGGCCCACAGACAACATGACCAAGTCCGCGTCCTCAGTATCCTGGGCGCCGCCTACTGCGCCATGGTCGTGTTCTACCTGCTCCTGCATGAACTGGGGCGACCGAGCCGACTGTCGCCAGTGCGGCTCTACACGTCCTGTATCCTCTTCGACTCCTCCTTGGAGACTTACTCGCCGCTCAGGCAGTGCCCCTCCTGCCTCTGCGGATGCCCGTGGCAAGGGCAAGGGAGGCAAAGGCAGGAACAAGGACAAGGACAAGGTTGCCTTGTCCTTGACCGACAAGGACAAGGACAAGGACAAGGACAAGGACAAGGACAAGGACAAGGACAAGGACAAGGACAAGGACAAGGACAAGGACAAGGACAAGGACAAGGACAAGGATTACGCTGCCGAGGAACCCCACATACTTATATTATGGCTGGAGTGATGATAGCTGAAGTGAAGCATGTAAGAATGATGTTGGTGGCCGTTGCCACCCCCTGCGCACCCCCTATTTTGTCCAGAAAGTGCCACGCCTGCTATGCCCTGGACGACCGTCGTGCATAGCGGCCGCGGTGAGGGACCACCCCCTGCGCACCCCCTATGGTGTCGAGAAAGTGCCACACCTGCTATGCCCTGGACGACCGTGGTGCATAGCGGCCGCGGTGAGGGACCAACCCCTGCGCACCCCCTATGGACTCGAGAAAGTGCCACACCTGCTATGCCCTGGACGACCGTCTCGAATAGCGGCCGCGCTCGGGGACCACCCCGTGCGCACCCCCTATGGAATCGAGAATGCCACGCTTACTATGCCCTGGACGACCGTCTCGGATAGCGGCCGCGCTCAGGGACCACCCCCTGCGCACCCCCTATGGAATCGAGAAAGTGCCACGCCTAATATGCCCTGGACGACAGCACGTCATAGATGCAGCGGGCCCCGGGAAAACGGGGGTCGAAATGCGCGGGGGGCGGGCGGATCAGATTCTTCGTAGGGCGCCAGTATGTAGTTCGATCACCACCAAGGCTGAGTTAGAGCCCGTCCTCCACAACGTCGTCGCGGCCAAGAGCCGCTATCTTCACAGAGGAGGCCGCGCTCCCTCTCAGCTCGCGCATGGTTTCACCCAGCGGCGTGCTCTCAGACGATGGCATGAGACAGGTCGGGGAAAGGGGATTTAGTTCGGACGGCGCGGGGCCAAGACACGGCGGCGGCGGACTACGCCAGGCAGCGCGCAGTGCGGGACCTGGCGAGAGGAGCTATTTCGCTCATCGCGCAAGCGGAAGTTGGCGGAAGCTGCCGAGGGCAATGCCAGCGGCAGCGGGTTTTCGCGGCGTCGGCGGGCCCATCCAGGGCAGCGGGTTTTCGCGTGGCCTCTGCGGGCCCCCCGCCTCTGGGAGGAACACATGCGCGCTGCAGCGCGATCGATGCGCTGGGCCCGGGTTGGTCCTTCTCCAGTCCAGCGGGGGCGAGTGGGTTACCTTGCGAAGCCGTCTGGAACTCGCCCCAGCAAGGAGGCTGGCGGCGTCGCCATAAGCCCAAGGGGCCGAGGTCATGTCCGACCCGGGGGCGCATAAATTCCTTCGAGAGGCCCAGGCGGGCCGCGCCGGGGCCGGCGCGAACGCGGCGGCCGAGAGGCCTCCGCCGAGAGGGGCCTGGGAGCCACATCGCGGCGTGGAGGTCGACGTTTAAAAACTTGCGCGCGCGCCCCTCGCTCCGCCGGGTCAGCCGAGGGGGTCCGGGGGGGGGGTTCAAAGGCCGCCGCCGCTCCCAGGTTAGCCTTCAATTCCGGGAGGGGACGCCGTTGGCAAGAAATCTGCAGGGTTAGGGGGGCGACGCTGGGCCGCCAACCCCCCAGTAGATCGGTCGCGTTCTCGTCGAGTTAGCACCGAGGGGGGAGATGCGGATGAGGATGCTCGTCCGTGCAAATGCGTTGGGGTCAATCCCAAGTGGGCCGCGTCTATTCGTCTGTCCGCGGGCGCGGGCCAGGAACCCGCGCCCGCCTCCTCCTCTCCCCAGCCCCCGGCCCCTTCGTTTCTGGATGGGGGCCCTGGCTCCAGATCCGCCCTACTTTGGGCGATTTCGCAAGTGGGGCCTGGAATCCCCACTCAGGCCCGGCAAATGCAGATTTCCGCCCCAGTTTTCTGTTGCTGTTTCCGCTCTACTTTCTGAGTCCTGCTTTACTTTATGTTGGGTACGTCGCCGAACGTGCGTCATGGGAAACGCATTGGACGTGTTCCGTGCTGCGTGGCTGCGGCAGGGTTCAGACATCTTTTTCCAGGTCGGTTCCACGTCGCGGGGCCGCCGTGCGGACCTTGTCACTGAAGCCTTCGGCGGCACTCTCTATGGCGCCACGAAGCGCGTGAGCGGCGTGCCGAAATTTGGCGGGGCCTCCACGCGCGCCTTGCCGTCGGGGCCTTCCGCAGAGCTCCGCGCCGCACAATTGCGACCGCCGCGCGCGCGGCAGCGGTGGTGCGCGGGGCGGGCTGGGGGCGCTCGCGCGGCAGGCCGGAAATCGGTCGCAAGGTGGGCGCAAGGAATTGACAGTCATGAGGTTGTCGCTTGCCATCTCGAGGCTCGCGCTGGCCTTCAAGATGGCGCCCGCATTGTCGCCGAAGCGAACGGGGGGGCTTCAACGCGGCGCCACGCGGTCCAACGCGCCCCCCCCCGAGACGGCTGAGATGGCTCAAATGGTTCCTCTTGCTGTTCCTCCTGCTCCTCTTCTCCTCCTGCCCCCCTCTCATCTTCCTCCTCCTCCCCCCCCCCCCTTCCTCATCTTCCTCCTCCCCTCCCCCATCCTCCTCCTCCGCCTGCCCCTCCTCCTCCCCCCCTCCTCCTCCTCCCTCTCCTCCTCCTCCTCCTCCTTCTTCCCATCGTCCTTCTCCCCCCCCCCCCCCCAGACATCCGACGTCTCGATGCGTTCGATGCGCGGCCCCTGGAACCCCGACATATCAGTGGGACAACGTTGCATCGCGGGTCTTCGTCTGACGACCCTCTCAGAACCCCGAAAAGCGAAAGCGGCGACAATCTTCCGCCTTGATTTCGGGCGCACCCCGAATTTGTTTCTCGCAATGCAAGCCCCGACTGACTGACATATTGACAAACTAACAGATTGAGCGACTGACTGACTGACTGACCAACTGACTGGTCGCACCCGTTACGCGACAGTTTTATTCTCCGGCCGCCGAGGGCGCAATCATGGCGAAACCAATTAGAGGCGGTATTATTCTTTTCTGCCGAGGGCGCGACCCATAGCGCAACCCATAGCAGGCGGTTTAACTCTCGGCCGCCGCCGAGGGCGCAACCCATGGCGCAACCAATATGGAACGGCTTCATTCTCGGCCAGCGCCGAGGGCGCAACCTATGGCGCAACCGATAGTAGACGTCTTTACTCTCGGCCGCCGAGGGCGCAATCTATAGCGCAACCAGTGGGAGACGGATGTATTTTTGGCCGCCGAGGGCGCAACATATGGCGCAACCACCGAGCGACGGGTTCATTCTCGACCGCCGTGGGCGCAACCATGGCGAAACCAATCGGAAACTGGCTCATTCTTGGCCACCGAAGGCGCAACCTATGGCGCAATTGGCAGCAGGCGGTGTTATTACCGGCCCTTCCGATGGGCGCAACTTACGACGCAACCAACAGCTGACGGTTTGATTCTCGGCCGTTTGGGGCGCAACCTACGGCGCAATCGATAGGCAACGGCCTTGCCTTCGGCCGTCGAGGGCGCAACCCGTGGCGCAACCACCCGAAGACAATTTTACCTTCGGCCGCCGAGGGCACAACTTATGGCGCAACCAATATGAGACGGCTTCGTCCTCTCGCACAGGGTGACTGGAACCCCGACTATCTATTTCGCGTCGCCCACCCCTCGGCCCCCAACTCTTCCCCTGGCGGCCCTCTTTCCTTCAGTTCCTCTCTGTTCCCAGCAGCCGAGTGCCCCCTCCGCCCCGACCATTTTATTGCGCGGCGCCCCGCCCCCCCCACCTCCTCTGCCCCCAGCCCTCTCCCCAGCGGCCTCCTGTCTTCGCCCCCAGCAGCCGGTCGCCCTCCCCCCCCCCTCTTCGCCCCCGCCGCATTATTTCGCGTCGGCACCCCGCCCGCCCCTTGTGCCGCGCCCCCTGCCCCCCCCCCACCCCGCCCGCTCCCCTGCCAGGCCCGCCCCCTTGTGATTTCCTTTGTTTTTCCTCTCCTTCTCTTCTCCTTCCCCCGCGTGTAAGACCCATGGCGCGCGTGCCAGTTGTTCTCGGCCGCCGAGGGCGCAACATATGGCGCAATCAAAAGGAGACGGGCTCATTCTCGGCCGCTGTGGGCGCAACCCATGGCGAAACCAATATGAGACGGGCTCACTCTCGGCCGCTGAGGGCGCAACCTATGGCGCAATCTGTAGGAATTTGTTTTATCATCGGCCGCCGAGGGCGCAACCTATGGCACGACCGACACGATACGGATTCATTCTCGGCCGCCGAGGGCGCAACCTATCGCGCAACCGATCGGAGGGCTCAACGACCGGCGCAATCAATAGGCGACGTTTTTTGTCCTGGCCGACGGGGAGGACGACAAATAGTACGAGGACGATGCCGATGACGAA